GCTCGGTAAAAATAGTTTTAACTTGATGTTTTTTCTAAACATAGTTTATTTGATTCAACAAAGCGGATGGGTCCATCACACGTTGAGAAGAATCGAAAAGGAAAAATTGATTATCACACATACATACGAAAAACATACACTCACACACAATAGTAGATAGATGAAACATGCAGGGCTTCACCTGAAATATCTGAAATGTTTGGAAAAACCTGAAAATCGAAAAACTAGACTTTTGTCATATTTTAATTTTTTCTTGTTCTATTTCCCATTTTAAAAATCCGACTTATACATGAATCAAACGAGCTGAAAAAACTGAACAAGATAGGCTAGTTTTAAGAAGTTCAATTCATAAATTAGTGGCCAAAAAAATTCAATTCAAAAGGATACTATATTCTTAAAGAACAGAATGGCAGAGTACCCTGAACACTGTTACAAAAGAGCTGCTCAATGTGTCGAATGAAACTGTTTTCTGGCCTCCTGATTTTTTTTTTGAAAAAACCTGAAAACTTTTACGCGCTCACCTGAAAAACCTGGCAGGTATTTCGAATTTTTCACTCTCACCCCTGAACATGTGAAATAGAGAGCGAGCATATAGAATAACGTCATAAAAGGAACATAAATTTTTCTACGTAAGATAATACAAGACTGAAATAAATATAATTATGGGAAACATGAAGATGTGTATGCAGTTTGATATATTTGAGAAACACTAAGTCTATTGCAAAAGGGATTATATCTGTAGGGGTTCTCATATTCATTTTGATGGTACAGAAGTTACAACACATCATGGACGAAAACGATTTGTAGTTTTAATATATATCTTTGATAACTTGATTGTTCTTTTTAAATCTATTATATTTTTGTAATTTAGATTTATCATATTGTCACCACTTGTCTTGGTACTCCACCAACAACATTTGAATACGAGTATTACGATTCAAGTAAAGAATATCATAAAATCGGACCAATTACGCCTCTTGCGTTTTATGAAAAACATGTGAAACCAGTTTATAATGTTGATGAAAAAGTATGATCAAGAAGATTTATCGAATTAGACTGTATTATTCTTGTTATTTCTTCAGGTTTGTTTGGTTCATGATCCACGTGCTTCACATCCGTATAATAAATTATATACTGTCGAATATCTTGGAAATATTGTTGGAAGCAGAGAGACATTGTACAACAATCAAGAAATTTCTGTTTTGAAAAAAGCTGCATATGATTCAATTAAAGCTGATGAAGTGAGTACCATTTAGACAATCTATATAGAACTAGTTACATGAAACTTTGCCTAGTAAATCTGAATAAAACGATCTGATAATTTATACAAAGATAAATAGAAGAAGAGCTTATCTGTTTGAAACAAGTTTAATGTTAGTTCTGTTATAAACAAGATGTGCACGTACTGATTGTCACTCTCACGGTTAAAAATCATCCAAACCTGCACTTTCTATAAAAAAAGTATTGTTTTTTCTAGCCGGTGTGGATCGGTGTGGATTTTGGTAAACATATTCAGGCTAAATTTGGTATAATGGATTTATCGATACTTAATACCGAATTATTTTTTAATTCAACATGGCCATGTCAAAATAAAGGTGTGTTATAACATATAAACTCAATTTATTATAAATATTTAGGTTTTTATTCTTTTATCTTAGCCTCTCGATTGGAGTATGGTGAATCATTGATGACGCATGCGATGGTATTTACTGGTGTACATGTAGAAAAATCATTATCGTTGAACACAAATCAAACAGCTGGACAACAACAACAACAAACTCCGAAACCTTCAAATGATAGTAATCATGTTTCGTCAGATGAACAAGGAACATTAAATAATAATGAATTAGCTCGTAATAATAGTGATAATTTAGTTTGTGTATGTATGTGTGATAATCAATTTTTCCTTTTCGATTCTTCTCAACGTGTGATGGACCCATCCGCTTTGTTGAATCAAATAAACTATGTTTAGAAAAAACATCAAGTTAAAACTATTTTTACCGAGC